TGCTCACAGAGCTGAGGGAATTGTCTGGGAGTCCTGGCCAATCTGAGAGCCCACAGGGATTGTACAGGGGAATCATAAAGGTCGCTGTCTAGTGCACCGAGTCTCAGATATGTGAGATTCATACACTGATTCTCATGGCTTTGCATTCCTGTCACAGTAAGGAGTTTTCCTTGCTCTGCTGAGTGGGATTTTGGTGAGTTCCCTCTTTCTTTATTAAAGTTAGTGCTAAGGGCTCAGGAAGGGATCCTGGGTTCAAGTCAAGAACCATCTGGGCAGGAATTCACTTGTACAGCGACTTGAACTGTTTAGTATTGTCAGAAACAACAAGGGGTTTACCTGGTAAAATTGGAACTAAAAATTTACTGTAAATAGTTTAGACAAATATTTGTTTTTAAGATCAGTTCTTTGCCTCACACTTTGTTCTTTTATCTGTCTCAGTAGCTTCTTTTTTGGGTGGTGTGGTTTTTTTCCTCTGGTTTGTTCAAGTTTTCCAGTTCAGCAACTTCACTGCCCTGTTAAGGAGTAAAGTGAAAGCCTCTGCAGTGGGTATCTGTGTGACCAGAGGTTCCCAACAAGAATGGGTCACACAGTGGCCAGATTCTGCTCTCACATTCTGCCTACCGTGGGTCACTCCAGAATGAAACTGGCCTCCTTGAGAGCAAAATCAGAGCCCACATGTTTTGGAATCCCCATCTTTCATACCCGGTCTCAGAGCACCACATAAACTGGGGTTTTCCTTCAGACACTTTCAGCACCCTAAGAGAAGAGCAGGACCCAAAGCCATAATTTTCACAGTTTGGAGCCAAAAGTTAAACACGAAGGGTGAATGTGTCCCATTGAGATCAATGGGAAAGCTCCAAAAATGGCCAGGAGTTCACACGAAATCCACATGTAGGGATTTAAATAAATGGCCTGATTTATACCGGCCATGAGGCTCCAGCGACTTCAACTGGAGTCGCCCCATGGCCTCTAAGGACGGGTGAGCTCATTTGGACCAAAGAAGAACTGACAGGAGAGATGCTGAAATCTCAAGCTCACAGGCTTAGAGGTTCAGAACAATAAGGATAACAATTTTTTTCAGGGGAGAGAGGGGTCTGCTTTCTCCATGCCTCGGGTCTGGAGAAGACGAGAAGCTCCAAAGGCAAGCAGTGTTTGAAATCTCACCAGGAGAGGTTCAGGAACACACAGTGTGTGTGGGGGTGAGGGTGGGGCAGAGGGATGTGCAGTATCCAGATCTCAGTGGCATGAAACCCTGAAACTGGATGAAATAGGAAATGAACATCCTGCCTAATGCACAGACCAAAGAGGCATAACAAGGCTTTCTGCGGCAGGGGGTGTCTCAGACTTTAAAAGAGATGTGGACCACACTGTTGCAGATTATCTCTGACACTGTCCCCCATTCAGACAATCCCTCCTTCCATGAGCAACCCCACTAGAACGTCTTTGTAACGTCAGCAATTGCCAACGCAGAAAAGCAGCCTCAGAAATGGGTGTCCGGGTTTCTAATGTGCTGCAATACATAAAAACTTTGTGTTGTTTTGAGGAAGAGTCACTGACACTGGCTCCTTTTAGTCTCCACATCCTCTTTCCCTCACCCTGAGTCTGTCTCTCTCTCCTGCCTGCACCCCCAGAAAGGCAGTTCAGGCTGATCTCCCCCTTTGCCCAAGTGCAGGCAGACACTGACTTTAACCTAGTCTGTGGAGGTATTTCTGTGAGCTGTCGCTGTGGGGTCTGGCACCTTGTTTTGATCCTGGGTGTGGGGTATCACTATGTGGTAGCACTGGAAATTGTGGGGGTAGGGGACCTACATGGATAAGTGGCCAGCACTAGGGGTTGTGGGCAGGCAGGGGTGTTTAGGAGAGGTGGGCAATGGTGGGGATTGTGGGTGGTGGGAATGGGATGTAAAGGGACAGGAGATATCGCTAAGGGTTGTGAGGCATGCAGGCTGTGTACAGGGACATGCAAGCAGCACTGGGGGTTGTGGGGACCGGGACTGCCACGTACAGGGACAGACGGGCAGGGTTGAGGGTTGTGGGGCAGATAGGGGCTGTACAGGGACAGTTGAGCAGCGCTGAGGGTTGTGAGGGCACGGAGTAGCATGTACACAGAGAAGTGGGCAGTTCCTGTGGTTGTACTACAGGAAGAAGCTATAAGGACAGGTGGGCAGCACTGGGTGGTATGGGGTGTGGAGCGGCAAGTACATGGACAGGCAGGCAGTGTTACTGAAATAATTTTTTTCTTTGTGATTGTTGGTCCAAGGCCAGCGCTGCTACCTTACCTAGCCCAGAGCGTGTTTGTGGGAGTCTCAGGTTCTCTTTGCTCTGCCAAGCCTCAAACCTGCAGCCTGGGTGTCACAACCTCTACTCAGTTTTGTTTCCAGTGGTTGTTGTTGAATGTTAATTACGTAACTTCAATTGTTCTTCCCACTGCTAAAATGCCTGATCTTTGTTCCTCAGCTTCTTCAATCTCTCATCTATGATCTGCTATTCACATTCTCCTTCCCCACCCCAGGCTGCCCTGATTCCAACAGTGCGTTGGTTGCCAGTGTCTTCTCCATTCTCCTCAGTCATCCCTGGCTCCCACAACCTCCGACCTGCCCCACAATCCCCACAGCTCTTCCTCTGCGTGGGTGAGGTGCCTCCTATCACTCCTGTTCCCTTGGCTGGGAGCAGTCAGTGACTGTATCTGACTGGTGAGAAATCTAACATGAGGCAAATGCTTAGAGAGACACCTGTGCGGCTTCTCTTGTTATATACACACTGCGTGGTTCTTCAAGGATTGCCAACAAGGAACAATTTGGAAGCTGTGAAGTATTCATATTACAGAATGAGAGTAGGGTACTCTGGGACATGTAAGAGCCTAGGTAAATACCGCTGCCCGGTGCAGGAGACACAGGCAGCTGGCTGAAACAGTCAGCAACTGGGACAGAGATGTTAAACCCAGGATGCTCTGAGGCCATTTGCTAGCCAGCTCTGCTAGTCATTCAAGGGGAGGGTTGTACATTCATTCTTCAGTGTGGAGATTTTATGGGCTCAGGTCATTATTTTTCTCACCTAAAATGTTCATCCATTTAGTGCCTCCTGGGATCCCTCAGCTTCGTGAAATACACACCTAGTGTTACATTTCCAAGGCGCCGCAGTTACATGAGAATTTCTCCTCATAGGGCTAATTTCAACACGGTCATGAATAGAAAAAAATGCCTTCAGTATCTGAGTCACGAGCTTTCAGGCAAAATGCCTCCAGCTGACTCCTGGGGACATGTTCAAAGATTCCAAGGCCAGAAGGGACCATAGTGATAATCTAGTCTGTATAACACAGGCCTGAGATTTTCCCCCAAATTATTCCTAGAGCAAATAATTTAGAGAAACATCCAAGCTAGATTTAAGAATTCTCAGTTTTGGAGAAACCACCAAGACCCTTGGTAAATTGTTCCAATGTTGAATTACTCTCACCATTTAAAAACTGTACACCTTAGTTCCAGTCAGAATTTCTTTAACTTCTAGGCTGAAAAGCCTATTATAAAATATTGGTTCCCTGTGTAGGCTCTTACAGACTGTTATCCAGTCACACCTTAACCATCTTTGTAAAATTAAATAGATTGAGATGTTTGAGTCTATCACTATAAGGCACGTTTTCGAATCTTTTACTAATTCTTGTGATTTTTCTCTGAATCCTCTGCAGTGTATCAACATCCATTTTAAATTGTGGACACTAGAACTGGACACAGGATTCCAGAAATAGTCGCACCAGTGCCAACTACAGAGGTAAAATAACTTATCTACATCTCCTTGGCATTCCCCTGGTTATCCTCCCAGGTATGAGAGTTGCCCTGGGCTCTGGATTATTCTGGTTGCCATTCCCTGAACCCCTCTAGTTCTGCAATATCCTGTGTGAGAAGGGTGCCCAGTACTACACATTGGAGTTTAGAAGAGGGTGAAGCATTGACTGACTGATCTCATGGCATTGTATGTTCTGTATGATTCCTCATCCCATTCCTCCTGGATCCCAATGCTTTGCTTAGTTTCTGTCAATGCTCACTCTGTGAGCAGGGTTTCACAGAGCTGTGTACCATGAAGCCGAGATCCCTGTCCTGAGTTCATACAATTAAAATAGAACCTGATAGCATGTTTGAGGAGTTCAAGCTTTTCCCTCCAATGGGCATACACATTGCAGTTATTGACATTGAAGTGTCACCATTCTGCCTATTCACCTGGGTAGTTAGCTCCCTGTGAGGACTTCTCTGGACTTGACTATTACCTAGATAATCTGGTGCCATCTGCAAATGTTGCCACCTCTCTGATCCTCCCCATTTCTAGATTGGAAAACTTAAAAGTGGCAATTCTTCAACAAAAAACCTTCAAAAACAGACTCCATCGAGAAACTGCAGAACTGGAATTAATTTGCAAACTGGACACCATCAAATGAGGCCTGAATAAAGACTGGGAGTGGCTGGGTCACTACAAAAACTACTTAAATTTGTTATCTCTAAGGAGCCACAAGTACTCCTCATTGTTTTTACAAAAACTAATTTCCCCTTGCTAAATACTCACACCTTCTTGTCAACTGTTTGAAATGGTCCATCTTGTTTACTTTGGCCTCATTAGCACTACAAAAGTGCTTTCCACTCCTTCTTGTCAACTGTTGAGAATAGGCCAATTCTAATTGGCTCATTAGCACTGACCCCCCCAGTTGGTAAGGCAACTCCCATACTTTCTTATGTTGTGTATTTATACCTCCCTACTGTAAGTTCCACTCCACGCATCTGATGAAGTGGGTTTTAGCCCACGAAAACTTATGCCCAAATATTTTTTTGTCTCTAAGGTGCCACAAGGACTCCTCATTGTTTTTGCTGATACAGACTAACACGGCTACCACAGGGAAACCTATAAAATATATATCATTTGTTATAAAGTGTGTAACCCCCCCACCTCTCACTGTGCTTCTCTCCCTTCACAGGCACCTTGCGCATTTCTGAGCCCAATCAACACATTGACTACATCATGGCAGTTTTCAACCTCACCTCCTCTGAGGCTTCAACATTCATCCTAACGGGTATCCCTGGCCTGGAAGCGTCCCATGTCTGGATTTCCATCCCTTTCTCTACGTTCTACATTATCGGCCTGTTGGGAAATTTCACTATTCTGTTTGTTGTAGGCAGAGAGCAGACCCTACATAAGCCAATGTACCTGCTGCTTTGCATTCTGGCATTCACAGAAATCAGCACAACTACCTCCATCATGCCAAAGGCACTGTGTATATTTTGGTTTAATTTGAAAGGCATTACTGTGGGTGGCTGCCTCACCCAGATGTTCTTCCTTTATGCTGGTACTATGATGCACTCAGCCATCCTCGTCACAATGGCCTTTGATCGCTATGTTGCCATATGTAACCCTCTGAGATACACCACCATCCTCACCAATGCACGAATACTTAAGCTAGGGCTAGTGGGTTTGATAAGACCTGTCCTCTTTGTTCTGCCCCTGCCCCTACTCCTGAGCAGGCATCCATTCTGTGCCAACCGCATTATCCCCCATATGTACTGCGACCACATGGCTGTGGTGAAGATGGCATGTGGGGACATCACAGTCAGCAGGATGTATGGCTTGGTGGCAGCATTTGTAATCATCGGGTTAGACCTGACTCTCATTGCCTTGTCATATGCTCTGATCATCAGGGCTATCCTCAGAATCTCCTCCAAGAATGCCCACCAGAAAGCCCTCAATACCTGCACAGCCCACCTTTGTGTGATGCTGATTTCTTATCCTCCCTTCTTCTTTTCCACTCTGACATACCGGTTCGGTCAGGGCATCGCTCCACACATTCACATCATCTTGGCCAACATCTATCTCGTTGTCCCCCCCATGGTCAACCCTATCATTTATGGGGTCAAAACCAAAGAGCTTCGTGAGAAAGTGGGCAAATACACCTGCAGAAGGTAATTGCCGGGGACCACTGATTTTAAACCTGTGTAGCAAGAGGTGGAAAGGATATCTCCTTGTTTATCAAGGGTGCTCTGTCCCAGTTTGTCTGATCTGATCATTGTGGAAGTTCCCAGTCTGAGAAGTTCCTCACACCTAATGGCTTATCTCTCCATCACCAAGCACTGGTCTTTTTTGTAGAGGGCTTTTCCTTCACCCCTTCCCTGGTTCTTGTCACATGGACAAGAAGCAGAAGACCAGAAGTCCAAAGTGTAGACAATGCAATGTTTGTGGAGGTTAGTTCCAAGCAAGCATATCCATAGCTCTACATGCTGGTTGCGTATGTTTCATTCTGAGCGCTAATGCCACAGAATGTTGCCTGTGTCCCCATTTCCCATTCCCATTTTTTTCCACCTCCTCCTTCTTAGTAGGCCCAAATATACCTGCCATGCATACCCCAAGTCCCACCCCTTACAACTTATGGTCATGTTCCATTTTGGAGGTTCATGAGTCTGGGGTCTTCATCCCAATCCTTTTGTACCCCATGGGAGGGGTAAGTAGTGAGTTACTTACCACATTGGCCAAGGCCAATCTTTTCTTTGGCTTTTAGTATTTATTATGTCTCCCCCCATCCTCTCTTGCCCCTCCTAACAGGTTGCTTGACCTTGGCTTGAGAAAGGAGCCAGGCAGCCTTTCAATGTATACTCATATATTACACTCCCACCATACCCTGTAACATTTTTAGTTCTATCCCTTATCTCTTCCCATTATACTAACAAACCCATCTGGCCAGGCAGATGCAACACACACAGTGTCTTTGTCCTTTGTTCACACATATTAGTGTAAGATATAAAAGTATCAAAGCATCAAACCCCAAATTTGAGCTCAGGATGACAAACAAGTCTATATGCTGAACCCTTGCTGAGTTCCCTCTCTCTGACCATCACCCGATCTCTTTCATTTCACCCGTCAACCCCCAACCTCACTCACCCTGTCACTCAGCATTTCTGTACCTCCTAGACTAACAGAAGATTCTGCAGCTTTCTGATGGAAGATTAGTCCTTGTGAGAACAGCATTCTTGATCAGTTTGACGAACAGGAGCTACACTTTCAGATAGCCAAAGAGAAAAGAAAGAAACTTTACAATGATGAACTTCTTTATCTTATGTACAGTGATCCGGTGAGCAAACTTTACCTGAAATTTTTACATCCAATCCTTCAGGAAACCTGGAGGATAAACCAAATAATCACTAACAGTAACAAATGAATTCAACAGAAAATGTAGAAATTGACTTACATCATTGAATGCAATTAGAAATAAATAATATAATAATGTCATTGTTGTTTTTTCACTACATATGTTTTGTGCTACTTTTGGGCTATTTTTAACACCATCATGTGCCAGTTTTTGTTTGAAACACCTGCCAACCCTAACACAAGTATCAGTACTGGCATTTTAATTTTGAATTTGGTTGTCATCTCAAAGGTTTGTTGCTAATGTGGAAGAACTCCTACTGGGGCATGTAGCTTTAAAAAAAATCAAATCTGTACTAGGTAGCTAAAGAAAGCTTTCATTTTTTACTTGATGTAAAGACCAATGTGTGAATGAAACAAAACAAAACTTTGTTTCAAGAAATATGCTGAGCTACTTTTAGGTTAGTTTTAAGTGACTTTGGTTTATTAATGCAGTGGAAATCTGGCCACGCCAGCCAGAACCAGAGGGGCCAAAGAAGCAGCCCAGAAGGCAGAGCTGGGCCAGAGACCGATGAGCAGCAGTGAGCAGAGCACGGCCGGAGGCAGAGAAGCAGTGCTGAGGCACAGCTGGGAGCTGGAGCACAGCAGAGCCGGGAGCTGGGTCAGCACAAACCAGCTGTGCTGATGGGGAGGCAGGGATGAGCTACAGCAGGAAGCTATTGGGCAAGAACCACTATAGTGGACACCAGCCATGCCATTGGTAACACGGCATCTGAGCATGATGAGGAGCCGTGGAGAGCAAGGTGGGACCATGGGAAGAGGGCCCAGTGCAGAAAGACATCGCCTGACATCAGGGCCTTGAAGTTGGACTCAAGGGTTGGGGACATGAACCCAATGAAAGAGAGCATAGAATCAAATGAAGTAAAAATTGTAAATGAACCAAACTGTACCATAAGTAAGCACTCTTTTTTATCTATTTTGAATTTTTCACTTTTCAATTTAATTGAATGTCCTCTTGATCTTGAGGTAGGATACGGGGACAACACATTTCCTATCTACTCACTACCAGTCAAAATTTTATAGACATTTCTCATGTCCCCTCTAATTCATCTTCTTTCTACGGTAAGAGTTCCAGTCTTTTCAACCTGTTCCATATGAGAGTTTCCCGGGGCCTTTGATCATTCTCATTGCCCTTCCCTGAGCCCCTTCTAGTTCAGCAATATCCTGTGTGAGAAGGGTGCCCAGTACTACACAGAGGAGTCCAGAGGAGGGAGAAACATTGACAGAGTGATCTCATGGCATTATATTTTCTGTATAATTCCCCATCCCACTCCTCCTGGATCCCAATACTTTGGTTTATTTCTGTCCGTGCTTGCACTGTGAGCAGGGTTTCACAGAGCTGTGTACCATGACACCCAGGTCGCTGTGCTGAGTTCATAAAGTTAAATTAGAACCTTTTAAGGTATATGAAGAGTTCAAGCTTTTCCCTCCAGTGGGCAGACACCTTACAGTTATTGATATGGGCTCCCTCTGATGACTTCTCTAGACTTGACTATGACCTAAATAATGTGGTGCCATCTGTAAATATGGCCATCTCACTATTTACCCTCTTTTCTAGACTTTTAATAATTATAAAGTATTTACCACAATATTTGTTATAAAGTGTATAACCAACTTGCTCTGCTTCTCTCCCTTCACAGGCACATTGAGCATTTCTGAGCCCGACTGAAGAATCGACCACCTCTTGGCACTTTTCAACCTCACCCCCTCTGACCCTTCAACATTCATCCTAATGGATATCCCTGGCTTGGAAGCTGCTCACGTCTGGATTTCCATCCCTTTCTCTATGTTCTACTTTATTGGCCTGTTGGGAAATTTCATGGTTTTGTTTGTTGTAGGGAAAGAGCAGACCCTGCACAAGCTGATGTACCTGCTGCTCTGCATGCTGGCGCTCACAGACATTGCCACGTCTACCTCAGTAGTGCCGAAGGCACTGTGTATATTTTGGTTCAATTTGAAAGATATTACAGTGAGTGGCTGCCTCAATATCTTGAGGCAGATGTTCTTCCTTCACAGGGTTTCCATGATGCACTCATCTGTCCTCGTGACAATGGCCTTTGATCATTACATTGCCATATGTAACCCTCTGAGATATGCCACCATCCACACCAACACATAGATAGCTAAACTAGGTCTAGTGGGTTTGATAAGAGCTGTTCTCGTTGTTCTGCCCCTGCCCCTGCTCCTGAGTAGGCTGTCATTCTGTGCCAACCGCATTATCCCCCATACATACTGCGAGCACATGGCTGTTGTGAAGATGTTGTGTGGGGACACCACAGTCAACAATATGTACGGCTTGGTGATGGCGTTTCTAGTCATTGGGTTAGACCTGACGCTCATTGCCCTGTCCTATGGTCTGATCATCAGGGTTGTTCTCAGAATCTCCTCCAAGAAAGCCCACCAGAAAGCCCTGAACACCTGCACAGCCCACATGTGTGTGATGTTGATGTCTTATCCTCCCTTCCTCTTCTCCACTCTCACACACTGGTTCGATTAGAGAATCGCGCCCCATGTTCACATCATCTTGGCCAATCTCTATGTCCTCCTTCCCCCTCCCCATATTCAGCCCTATCATTTATGGGATCAAAACAGAAGAGCTTCATGACAAAGTGGGCAAATACACCTGCAGAAAGGTATCACCTGTAGCCACTCACTTTAAACCTGCGTGACAAGAGGGGGAAGGATATCTCCTCATTAATCCAAAATGATGGGTTGGTAGAGTGATTTCACAGAAGTTTGATGGCGATGTTAAAGAAGTTTGTAGCCTCGGATTGCAAACATTGAGACCAACTCTTCCCCTGCCTCCTGCTTGCTATCACGAAGGTGTCTCAAGCCTCCAAGTTTTCTCCCTTTGATCTGCTGTATGGGAAGCAAATTGCCTCCATATTTTGTGGGCGTTTGCTAGAAGAATTTTGCTAAATGAAGAACAGGTACAAGAGAAGGCCTAGAGCAAAGGGGTTCAGCTGCGAGTGTTCAGACTGGGGGATTGAGTTTTATTGTTACTACCAAGTTTGCTGTTCAAATTACTGGTTCAATGGCAGGGATTGTTTGAGGTAGTGAGGCATGTGGGCCCCATCAAATATGAGGTCCAGCACGTAGAGAAGAAAAAGGAGACTCAAATCAGAACCCCCCAGTTAGAACTAAGATACACAACTTCAGCTACGTGAATAACGTAGCTGAAGTCAAAGTATCTTAGTTCGAACTACAAGGTACTTACCGCGGGTCCACACGCGGCAGGCAGGCTCCCCCGTCGACTCCGCATACTCCTCTCGCGGAGCAGGAGTAATGGTGTTGACGGCGAGCACTTCCAGGATTGAATTATCACGTCTAGACAAGACGCGATAAATTGATCCCAGAAGATCAATTGCTTACCGCTGAACCTGGAGGTAAGTATAGACGTACCCTCAGTAATTGTAATAACTGGTGTTGGTATCACATTTTTATCTGTGCCAAGCAAAATATTGTGTAAGATCATTGTCCAGTATATATCAGAGACAGTTGATAGTGTTCTCAGAAGAGACCAAGCTGGTTTTCGGAAGGGGCATGGATGTACAGATCAGACCTTCACTCTACGAAACCTAATATAACAGTGCTTAGAATGGCAACGGCAACTCCACATAAATTTCAAAGACTTTTAGAAGGTTTTTGATAGCATTGATAGGACCAGCCTATGGCACATACTGCAGGCATATGGAGTTCCTTTCCATATGATCAACATCATTAAAAGCTTCTATTTCAACTTTACATACAGTGTTGATCACAGTGAGCTCAGTTTTGAAGTCAAAACAGGAGTATGTCAGGGTCGTGTCATGTCTGAAATCCTCTTCAACATTGCCATCGACTGGGTAATGCAGGGTACAGCAGGAGACATGCCAAGAGTCATTAAATGGACACTCTTCTCATCCCTTGAAGACCTGGACTTTGCAGATGATGTCACTCTCCTATCACCTATCCAGCACCATATCCAAGAAAAAACAACTCGGCTCAATACGTTCAGCCAGCAATTTGGACTAAAAATCAACCGCAATAAGACAGATATCATGACCTTTAATATTGCCTCACCATCACCAGTACAGATTGAGGAATATGTTCTCACCAATGTAGAAACAATATTTGGGCATCACCATCAGCCAGGACATCTGGAAAAAAATCAGTAAATCCAGGAACACCTTCAGGAGCTTAAATATAGTCTGGAAATCATCAAAATACAACAAAACAAAACTCAAGATTTATCAGAGCTGCATACTTTCAACACTACTTTATAGTACAGAATGCTGGGGAATGAGAAAGTATGACATGTCAAAACTGTCTTCATTCTATACAATCTGCCTCAGAAAAATTCTCCGTATCTTTTGGCCCAGAACAATCTCAAACCAAGTGTTGTCAGATGCTCCCGGTGTGGTGCTCTGCTCTATTCAATGTTGATATCAGTTGGCTGCGTGCGTGTGTTCCCTCTGTGTGCTGCCCCAGCTCTGCGCAGATCGCTGACCCAGCAGATCCCGAGAGAACCCCCAATGACCACAGACTCTGGTAATGTACGAAGGCACCCGGCCAGGTTTCTTGTCACACGAAGCATAGTAATAGTTTCCAGCAGACTCTACAAGACATACTACGAATTTGTGCCCCCTGACAATGGACACAGCTCAGCCAGTGACAGGACTTTCCACTGCCCCCTAGGCCGGACAAAGACACTGCCCCAGGGATACATTCTTATACACAGGTACAAACAAGTTACACATCATTCCTGATGTATTGAGGTGCAAACCCTCTACGTAACAAGGTACAACCCCTCTATGTAGCAAGGTGCCACCTCTCACCTTGTACATGTTGGTTCAAACAAAACAACTCTATCCATCATATTACCCTTTTACCCCTGTCTTTAGGATGGGTCAGCTTGTTCCTTGTTGTGTGTGTGGAATGTGTAAGTATTGGAGTGTTCTGGTATCTGGTGTCCAGTACCTGTTAGGTACGTCTCTTCTTACAGCATCAGCCCTTTCCTTGCCAGCTTCTGTGAGCGTGGCCTGCCTCTGGTTCACAGCTTAACTTTGCTTTATGTTAGCAAAGTCTTGACCATTACTTTAGTTCAGGCCTTAGGCCTCATACCAGGCCTCTGATATAAGGGTTTATGTTTCAGGGCCTCATCTTACAACATTCCCCCCCTTTTTGTCTTTTTATGGGGAGGATGTTTACCCATCATTCCGGAAAAGCATAATGCCTGGACTAAAGATAACCCAGTGGGCTAAACACAATAAATATGTGGTTATTTTATTTTACCATCCATACACTCATACCCCATTTGTTTTTTTAGTCTGCACATTCCCACATACGACTGATAGACAGATTTTATTATCCAATTATTTTTTAGTCCCTTATGGTGGGCCTGGGAATGATAGGCCCTGGACCATGACTGAGGAATGTAGTATTATGATTGAGCCTTAGAGGCACTCCCAAATAATTAATATATATGAATTATATGGATATGGTATATATATTTGTAGTGTATATGGACATATATGTATAGTATGTATGTGTATATATAACAGCACTTTATATTCAAGCATAACAATTCTTTTCCAATTTGTTGTTGTAGTTTGACCCTTGTGGTACTGCAGATAGCAACCCACTTTTATGAGGGCAATGACAGTTACCGTCTGTATCATTAGTAGTAGTAGGCTGAGTGTTCTGAAATACTGGGATAGGGATTGTGATAGTGTGTCCCACAGTGCTATGTATATGAGAAGTAAAACAGAAATTTGGAGTAGTGACACTACCATTGAGGCCTTTATATAAAAATATATTGTAATTAGTTACTACACAGTACTGTCCATTCGTGTTATAGATTCCCCTTACTGGTGGTTGTCACCCTCTGGTAAGCTTCACTGGGCAGGAAACAGAAGTGGCTAGCGACTCTGTTCCATTGGTTGAACTGCTCTGTGATACACCAGTAGTTGACGTAGATCCACTTGTTTCTTATGGATGCTATTTTCCAGATAACCTACTGAACGGACAGTAACGAATGTATTAAATATTGCTGTGTTAGGATTTAGTATTGGTATCCAGACACTGAACAAAATTGTTTTGAATACCATGTGCTTCAGTTAGGATACAGTGTTACTGGTTCCAAATTGTGACCAATACTAACAGGGAATTTATATATTTAATTTGTAGTTACTGTGTAGCAATTTTTTTAAACCAATTTGTTTCTTCTTGCCTTTATGTTGTTTGCTGCCATTCTTTTGTTGATTTTTACCCGTGTGTTGGTTAAACAGTTTAGCAAGGTTATGCACATTGTAAATGTTGTACAGCAATAATACAATACAGCAAAAATACAACAGTACAATGAGAATACATTAGTACAGCAATAATACAGTTGTTTTTACACAGTAACCAAGTTTAAATTAAATGACAGTTTATCCTGGTCCAGCTAGTGGTTTTTAGCTGATTGTTAACTTAATTGTCCATATATGGTAGATCGGGGTGTATTTAACCAGTCTTTTATTTATAAAGCACTTCATTTTTCTGTTCTTGATGCTTGGGGGTTTCTTCACTGTATACTGATATTTTCTGGTGTCTTCAGAGTGTGATATTTTTTGGGATCTTTACTGTGCGGGATGCAACTTAAACAACTTTTGTTAGTTAACATAGTAAAGTTTTTTGTTTGTTTTTCTTTTTTGTTTTCATTTTCAGTAACCCAGACCTAATACAAAGTTTAACTTAATTTGTCAGCTGGGTAGTTACAGCAGTTTTGACAGCTCCCAGACTGCACACCGCGGGCAACAGATCAGGGAAACTTTGAGGCTGTTCCCTTGTAAAATGTGGGATACCATATGAGATAAACTCCAGGTCACACAGTGAGTGGAGAATTCCCACGGTGCTACTTCTGATGCAGGATAGAACAACCTGTTTCTGCATCGATTTCTGAAAGATCAACACAGTATTGAAATGTGATGCTTATCCGATGCAGAGTATGCCAGATATATATCCACTTTAGACTTCACAAAGGGATACTGGCAAATACCTTTGATGCTAGAATCCTGAGAGAAGAAAGCCTTTTCCACACCCTTCAGCTTGCATCGATTCAGGATCATGTCATACGAATGCATGGGCGGTATGCAGCGGTACACTACTACCATCAATTGATAATGGTTTTTGGTCCCATATCTTGTGGCCACATTCCCACACATGGTGCAGATGGCGGTACATTACACACAGAAAAGAAAGCCATCATCAATTGCTGGGCTGAACAGTTTGCAAGACTCAGTTTCCCCTTGGAATCTGAGCCCCTGATATTGGCAAATCATTTCTTCACTCCCAGGGGAGGCTCTCCGGCTGAAGTTCTCCAGGGTCTATTTACTGCTCTTCCCGCTGCTCACGGAGCCGAGGGAATTGTCAGGGAGCGCTGATTAACCTGAGTGTCCACAGCGACTACAAATGGGAATCATAAAGGCTGCTATCCAGCACCCCAAGTGTCAGACGTGTGAGATTCATACACTGATT